AATAATAATAATAATAATAAACTTTATTTATACCCCGCCACCATCTCCCCAAAGGGAACTCAGAGCAGCTTACATGGGGCCAAGTCCAAACAAAAATGGCAATATAACAATACAAATTGCAATAAAATAAACAACATAACATTAAGGTATAAAACATCAAAGCATATAACATATCAAAGCATATAACAAAGCATATAACCTATATAATATACACAGAACATAGGAACTAGGCATAATGACAGACAGACAAAGGGCGGGCTGCATGTACATAAAATGATTTAAAAACTCCGGGTGAGATAAGGGGGCAGAACTAATTGTAAGGGAGAACTCGTAGAGAGATAGGAAAATAAGCAACCTTTCTACATAGAGTGGGGAGGACTCCTGGGACAAGAATGTTGGGGTACCACTAGCATAAAATTATGTGGCTACTCTTCGAAAGCGCGACGGCAAGCCAGGTCTTAAGACTCTTTTTAAAGGGTGGGACTTGCAGTACCTTCACTCACTTCCTGAAACCACAGCGACACTCATCCAAATACCAATAAAGACCAAACTTGGCACAGAGAGCCCCCATGGCCAACTCAACATTCTGGTGAGGTTTAGGGGAGAACAGACTATGCATGATGTGACTTTCAGTACCTTAATTCACTTTCTGAGATGACTGTGACCCTCATCCAATGACTGATCAAGACCAAATTTGGCACACAGAGCCCGCATGACCCACTCTCCATCCTGGTGCAGTTTGGAGGAGGATGGACCATAGATGATGGGACTCACAGTACAGTCACTAACTTCCTGAGACCACTGTGAGCCATATAAATAACTGATAAAGACCGACCTTGATACACAATTCCTTTCTCAAATACAGATGGAGAAAAGTAGTTAGGGAGACAATGAAAGCATAAGAATCTGCTGTACTTTAAATGTTTGCGTATGCCGCATCTCATGAAACATGAGTACATAACATGACACATTCTTTCTAAATATCCTGGATCAAAGTAGATAATGTTTTCTAATTTCTGAGGCTGCTCGAATCTCCCTTTTCAGTCCATTCTTCCCATCTATTTTGACCAAACAGACAGGAATAGAGGATGACGACGGACATTTCTCTCTCTTGCTCCTTACACAAAACAACTCCGAGCAATTACTCTTTGGCAAAAACTGTAGATTAATCCTAGAGTGCAGAAGAAAGAATTAATATGTATTTTTATACCTTATGTAATTATACCTCACTCAGCCATAATAATATGTTGTTATGTGTATTGCTTAATCCAGTCCCAGGCTTGAAAAACAGTAATCAAGTTAAATTCTAAGAAGCAAATTAAACATTGACTCCCATGACTTTTTGGAGATCTTAAATGGGAATGTTCTCAGAGACAGATTTATAAGAACAGTATGTGCAATTCCAAATCCATTGATGTTTTGGTACTACCTGCAGTTTGAAGTGTTTGCTCCCAGAAAGAAATTCTCCATCACTTAGAACAGAGCTTTCCAAACTGTGTGCCGTGACATGTTAGTATGTCAGATGCAGTGTGTAGGTGTGTCACTTGAAACCTCTGAATCTATGTGAAATTAGTAATACATCATATACCTGTATTTTAAATATATATAAATGAAAGGTTTTCATGAGATATGTTGTGTCTCCATGTTGTTGTTGTTCATTTGTTCAGTCGTTTCCTACTCTTCGTGACCTCATGGACCAGCTCCCTGTCGGCCATCACCACCCCCAGCTCCTTCAAGGTTCATCCTCCCACTTTATTACATTTTGTCCAATCACCTAGTGCTGACCCTTCACCCTAGATTAACCCTTCACCCTAGACGAGTCAATTGCATTACTTATTTCCAAAATTCCGTTGTTTCTACAGGTTTGGTCCCCTTACCTTCTATATATATACATATTCTATCAATTTCCCCCCATATCTTCCCAAAATCATTTTTTTTCAGTAGTCCGCTTTTAATTTTTATACTACCTGTCAATTTATCATTTATTGCAATATCCCAGATCTCCCTATACTACTCTTCCAATTGACACTCCCCTCCTTCTTTCCATTTTTTAGCTATTAACAATCTTGCTGCTGTTACCAGATTGGCAATTAATTCCTTTAGCTCTTTTGATATTTTAACATTATCAATAATGACAGCAGTGCTATCTCCGGTGTTCCTGTTATCCCTATTTGGGTGATTCTTCTTATTTCTTAAAATACATTTTTCCAAATTTTTGGACATATTTACAAGACCACCACATGTGTATATATGTACCAGTTTCTTGACAGCCCCTCCAGCACTGCTTAGAGCAATGGTTCTCAACCTTCCTAATGCCGCAACCCCTTAATGCAGTTCTTCATGTTGCAGTGACTCCCAACTATAAAATTATTTTCATTGCTACTTCATAATTGTTATTTTGCTACAGTTATGAATCATAATATAAATATCTGATATTAAGGATATATTTTCATTCACTCGACCAAATTTGTCACAAATGCCCCATACGCCCAAATTTGAATATTTGTGGGGTTGGGGGGGGATTGATTTTGTCATTTGGGAGTTGTGGTTGCTAGGATTTATAGTTCACACATATATACACAAATATATACACACACATAAACACATATATATACACACAAAACACATATACACAGACTGGGCCATAGCGACGCGTGGCAGGGGATGGCTAATCTTATATAAATAAAAATGTAATGTTCGTTTCTGGGATTAACATAACTCAAAAACCACTTGACGAATTGACATCAAATTTGGCCACAAGACACCTACTAACCCAAGGAGTGAACATCACTCAAAAAATTGATTTTGTAATTTGGGAGTTGTAGTTGCTGGGATTTATAGTTCGCCTACAATCAAAGAGCACTCTGAACTCCACCAATGATGGAATTGAACCAGACGTGGCACACAGGACTCCCACAACCAACAGAAAATACTGGAAGCATTTGGTGTGCATTGACCTTGAGTTTTGGAGTTGTAGTTCACCTATATCCAGAGAGCACTATGGACTCAAACAAGGATGGATCTGGACCAAATTTAGCACAAATACTCAATATGCCCAAATGTGAACACTGGGTGGAGTTTGGGGAAAACAGATCTTGTCATTTGGGAGTTGTAGTTGCTGGGATTTATAGTTCACTTACAATCAAAGAACATTCTGAACCCCACCAACGATAGAATTGGGCCAGATTTCCCACACAAAACCCCCATGACCAACAGAAAATACTGTTTTTTGTCATGGTCTTTGGCGACCCTCGGACATATTTCCCGACCCCCAGGTTGAGAAACACTGGCTTAGTGTGTTTCTTATCAATTTGATTTAATCTGACTGGTGTGAGATACCATCTCCACACCAGTTTGTAATAATTCTCTTTTATTCTTATTGACATATTTTTAAAATATATGCATATTCCACATTCCTTTCCAATGTTGAGGGTGTGGTTGGTTCTAGTTATGTGGTGCTAGACCAAATAGTTTAAGCCTCTGACAGGTAGTCAGAAGTAAAAGGTGGCTCAAGGTAGTGAGCCAGGTGTTTAATCTTCAACGTTGAGTAATTGAAAGTAGAAATATTTACGTCTAAAATAAAATCTAGCCGGGAAGCTAGAAGAAAAAGATTCCTAGTTTTTTTGTTGTGACTTCAGTGTCAAATCTGAAGCAATAAAAGAAGAAAAAGGAAAGGAAACCACAGATACTAAAGAGACAGAAGATAACCTGATGGTAAAGGTTTAATAGTAACAGTTATATGTTTTCGGAAGACTCAAGAGTTAAGTGTAACGATAATAAGAATATAATATGTAACCGCCAAGCATTGTGAACATGAGAAATCTCCAAATAAATATTGTTTCGGTTCAGTTCAAATACTGAAGACTTCTGCCTGTATTTCTTGGGTGTGCACTACATATAGGTCCCCCCGTCTGAAGATTTCTACCAGCATCTCCTAGGTGTATGCGTTACACCCTCGTATAGTCGAAAGTTGCATTTGTCTAACATTCAGCACCTTGCTACACTACATTTTGCAGTTTTCTTTTAGGATAACTGTATCTATTGAAATGTTATAAATCCCTCTATTCCGCTTTGGTTAGACCACACCTGGAATATTGTGTCCAATTCTGGGCACCACAATTCAAGAG